CGATCCAAAAATAAATTAGGGTTCATAGATGGAACCCTAATTTGACCTGAGTGAGTCTTCAAACCCTAAATCTGTCACTTGGGACCAATGAAACACCATGGTAATGGCGTAGATCACAAATTCAATTGAGATGGAAATTTCTTGATGTGTTCTTTGTAAGGACACTACCAAATAAATCTGGGAAGAACTTCTTGAGTATTACCATCAAGGTGACATTTATTGGATTCCCGATCTTCAAGAAGAAACATATTCTCATAAACAAAAAGATCAAAACATTATGCAGTACTTTACAACTCTCAAGAAACTCTGGCAAGATTTCGAGAATTTTCATCTTATTCCAACTTGCACCTGTAACCCCACTATTGCCAAATGATTCCATCCATCAAGACCTACAGAGAAACCAATTACATTATACATTTCTTGAAGGGACTCAATGAAAAATATGCTTTAGTTCATGCTCAAATCATTCTCATGAACCCTCTTCACCTTGCAAACAAAATTTTCTCATTACTCATACAACAAGAAAGACAACAAATTATTCCAATTAAGGAAGAAAAACTTGTAGCTCAAGTATCCAAACTCTACATGAGAGGATGTCCCAATGATATTGGTATTAAACCCTATTCTTTCAAAATAATTAAAGGTCTAAAAATTTACTTTCTACAACAAACTCGGTTAAATTCCCCCTCACATGAGTAAAGAGTACACTCCACCTCCTTTTAAGAGTATACTCCTCCCGTTTTACATATCAAAAAGGCGGTAAAAAGATGCTAGAAAGGAATGATTGACATGCAAGCACATAATTCACATAGATCAAGCATGACTAATTAACTAGGGGAAAATATTACTTTATTAAAGGATAATTTAAAATACAGAAAACAAGAAAATGAAGAAAATTAAACATATTGAAATGCTAAACTTAAACATATAGGTGACACAAATACTCATTGTCACTATCATCATTCCAAACTATAGCTTTTCCCTTTGAACTCCTTATGAGGGAAACAACTTGCTTGAGAGATTACGAGGATGGTGTTTATAACTCCTTTATTTACTTCAGGCTAAACGTTTGTAACTTGCTCTTCCTCTATGCAGTCACTCAATAATTCTCCTCCAATGATGTGAACCTTCATTTTGGTGAGGCATATTGAGTTGATTTGATAATAGATCAAGTCAAAAGTTTCTTCTACAAGACCAATTTTTGCTCTAGCCAAAATCTTGCTAATCAAACGTTCATAAGGTAGCCCAGTTGAGTGATTCTTCTTGCAAAAGGACATGTGGTTGAACATTTCCTCTACCTAATTTTTAAATGATGTTCATTTAACAACCACAAAGGGCCAATATCTTCTTTCGCCAGAATTTCAGGATTTCCTTTTCTAAGAAAAATAATTTAAGTAAGCATATAATGCCTAAATTGGCATTTAGTCTTTAAATTTTTGTTTTAAGAGGAAGCTTCTTTTTCCCCATTGGATCTTCCATAAACCCTAAAATGGTAGTATTTAGGTTGAATCTCTTGAACTTTGAAGGTTCGTCATAGTTGTAGGATATTTCATAGAAGGATAACTCAAACAACTTTCCAAACTCTTTTGCACCAGTGCTAACCTCAACCCTTTTATCTGGTTTGTGAGTGACGGACCTTCAATTTAGAGATTGAAGTAGAACTCTCTAAAACGTTTTAGAAACATTTGATCAGGGATCTTTGTAAATAACTCTTTGAGTAATCCTCTGTTGAGATTCTCATAGGTTTTGAAATCTCTGAGGAACGTTGGTTCCATACAGGTTGGTTGAATCACCTTTTGATTAGACAAATCTTTAGGATACTTCGATGAGAGCCCTTTTAAGGGAGACTTGCTTGAGGGTAAATTTTCAGCAGACATGCTCTTTGATAGAGCCATAGCAAGATGATAGTAATAATAACAACCAAATACTCGCACAAAATAGAGAGAGAGAGAGAGAGAGAGAGAGAGAGAGAGAGAGAGAGAGAGAGAGAGAGAGAGAGAGAGAGAGAGAGGAGATGATGAAAAATAAGAGAGTATGAACACCTATTTATACTGAAGCTTCTAAAAGCTTGAATGTGTACAAATTCCAAAAAAAATCCAAGAAGATTTAGGTCCAGAAATTTTTTGAAACAAAACTCTCCAAAATCTGTGACAATCGATTATTCAAGTGGAATAATCGATTATTTGCTATTAATTTTGAAGATTTAGTGTGCTATTCACTAATGCTCTAATATTATTTGCTTTAAGGCGAAGATATATTCCGATCTCGCTTCAAATTTGAAACACATAGACCACTTAATCGATTGAGTTAATCAATTATTTGCCTTGATATCAACCTTCTTGTTCTTTCAGGCCTTGGGTTGAGATTTAGCTTTGACACCCTTTTTCCACTAGATTGCACCCCTTTCTCCAAAAATGCACAAAACTTAAATATATCATTAGTAAAACTTAGTTTTAATTGACAAGATGGTTAATAAACCACTCATTTAGATGGTTATTCATATTTTTCCAATTTTTCAAAGTCTAAAAAGTGTGTCACCTCTAACCTTAAGTTTCTTGAGTAAATCCCCTCTTTTCAATGGAATGATATACCATGTCATAAATCCTTCTCGACGAATCGTTTGATCCAAAAGTTGGTTCAAATCATAGGATTGATAAATCCATTACAAACTTATCACTGTAACCTGCTAAGAGGTTAAATGATCATCACAAATAATCATAAATGTTAAGTAACATCCTCAATAAGAATACTTTGATCACGTTCATTAAAATACATTATTAACGAGAATGTCTTGATCACATCCGTTGAAATATATCATCGAAGAACATAATTGAATCACATGCATTTGAATCATCAAACGGCAATAGGAAAGACTTCTTCTTATATACTTAATTTATACAATTATTTTGCATAATTTCATTTAATATGTACTAAGACTTTATTAAAGTTACAAAGTATCCATGCAAAACACATCATATTTTCACTTTTGATACCCAAATCTTTTTAGATCCTGATGCATTAGTATTTCTTAGAGGTCTATGGTTATTATTACCTTTATACATTCTTACTTTATCATAACAAAATGGCTCTAAGTGGCCAAGCTTATTGCAAAAGGAGCATTTATAGATAGATGAATTTAATTTCTTCCTATTAAATTCTTTATTATGTAAAACTTAATCTTGTTTCTAGGAAAGCATTTCATTTGATAGGATCAAGTCTAGATTTTCTTTCTGCCATGAAAAATTTAGTTAGAGTTTCATGCAAATCTGTTACCTCCTTTTTTTTATCAGACACAAGTCTCACATTTATTAATTTGGTTTCTAATATTATCCATTTTATATCTTAATGATTCATTGCTATTTTGAAAAAACTCAATATAATATTTTTTATCTAAGTTATTAGTTTCTATTTTATCATGTTCCTCAATTAATTTAACATTTAATTTAAATAATTACTTGTATAATAAAGTTCAAATTTTTACACCGACGAGATAATCCTTAACTTCAAATTTTGCATCAGCGAAAAAATCACGAGTATCATTCATATCTAAAAATGTGTTAACAATTGAAAAGACATTCTTGCATCATTAAACACAATGTTCAAATTTTAGGATCCGAACATACATTCTATACAAGCTATTATGAACATAATCTATGTGAAACTTTTGATCAGACTAGAACACCTAAAATAATAGTATTTAGGGTGTTGTTACTATACCCTATGCAGTGACCAGTCACCCTATGAAAATCCTAAAATATCATTCTTACATTTTGAATTTCAATCTGAAGAAATGTCTATTTTTCAACTTCTATTTTTCAACTTAGGTCTGGATTTCGATCTTCGGATTTATCCTTTAATAGTGTTTTTCATCCTTTGACAGCAAGTTAAATGAAATTTGATTTTTTTTTTTTTATAAACTTGTATTATAAATCATTTTTAAATCAATTCAAGTAAGATAAATGAAAATCATAACCGAAACTAAAACCATCTATAAATCTTTATATTAAGAATCCAAATTGGAAAATATAAACTACGTGAAACTAGAACCAGAACATAGCACGAATCTTAGCTACAGTGCTCAAAAATACAATGCAAGGCAGTTCAGGATAAGCACAACAAACATTTCTATTACATTTAAGCTTAAACTATTATACATATGTTCTATTTTAGTTAGACATGAATGGGAAATCAAAAATTGAAAGAGAACAACTTATCAATGCAACAGAGACGTGCTTCAAATATGTGAAATGCAATGGAGTAGAGCTTCAATACAATGGATAAAAGCTATAAGAATGAAAATGAAAAGAAATTTCTGTTATTGCTTATGAGTATTTTTCCATTGTATTATCTATTTTTTGATGGGCATTGCCTCGTACATAACACATGGGTGCGTTGAGTAACCTCCAAATTTTATTTTTATTGTTATTCTCAAAATTCTATTTATTTAAAAACAACTCTTTTTATATGAAAAACTATTTTAAATTTAGTTTATAAAAAAACAATTTTATTTATATAGAGAAAAACAATATATAATATCTAAACATTTGCAACAATATTAATAAAATTTATTTTAACATACATAATTTCCTAACTTGAGTTATTGTTCAACCATATTTATACTATTTGAAATGTCTTCAAATAATAATCCTTAATAATATCAAAAATAATTTTAAGAAATGTAAAACATGCAGCCCCTAACATGGCCTGCTTATATTGCTAAAATCATGTAAATATTCTCAAGAGAATAACAAGATATATTTTTATTGCTAAAATCATGTAAAATAATCATGTAACTATTCATTCAATATTACCAAGGTTGTGTTGACAATAAAATCAGTCTCACCCTTGACATAACCGTGGGAATTTTGATCAGCTCTGTACATGACAATATCTCTTCCATTATATTTACACATCTTTAAAGGCTCACCACCCTACACCAAAATCTATTAGAACTTTTCTCTGTGCAAAATTATAAGTTGTTGAACTGAAAATATTAAGTACTATCTTCTCATCCTGGAGGCTGACCCCTTGGATTGGATAGGTCTCTTTCCGTTGGTCAAACCACTATCACTGACACTTCCTTCCACGAGTTTGTCATGAACATCAGAAAATTCTGTTCTCCATGAATGCAGGGGAACAAGGTCACAATCATCCTTGACCTTGGTGTTTCTCTTCCGCTCTTCATCGTGTCGTTTTACATTTTCTGATATCTGATGAATGGTTTTGTTTATCTTTGAAATGCCCCTTTCAACAGGTTCTACCACATGAGAAACTGTAAATTTCATGTCATCAACAATCTGAAACAGAAAGACAGCAAAACAAACAACGCAGATGAGTTTTGCATAAAGATGGAAGAGAAAATTAAAATGTCTGAAATAGAGTGCCATATTCTCACAATTTCACCACTTCCAAGAACCACGTCACAAACGCTATGTGTAAACTTCATAGGTTTATCTTTCTCGTCTTGGCGACCTAACCGCATTCTAGTTGAGCGCTCACAGTCATGAACCTCTGCGGGATCAGGAGGTGACCCTAGTGACGCATAGTCAGCCATCACCGCTGCATTGCGGACACACCTCTCTCCTCTTTTGTAAGGAACTGCAGGGAAGACATAAAGATGCACAACAGCAGCAACGCCCATCTGTAAACAATGTTAAGATGGAGAATCACTTAAAAGACCCAAAACTTAATGGATTGAAAGCTTCTTTCATGTTGATGACAAACAGAAATTCCAATTCAAACAAAATCATGAGACACAGCATTTAACAGAGGAGAAAAAACCAGCATAAGATACTAAACATAAAACAGATTACTCAGAGCTTAATACCAAAATGTGTCCTTGTCCCTGTTCAAAAGCAAACCCGGCATTGATCTTTTTGAAATGTTCAAGAAAATAGAGTAGAGAATGATCATCTCTAGTGTACCCAGTCCTCTGGGAGTAATCTTCCACAGTTCCATAATCCAGTTATGGATAGATCTAAAGACTGTAGCCAAGCGCACTTATTTCTCTCTCTCAACCTCACTGTCTCTAGACCTCATGTAGATAATGTGTGTGTTCCTTAATAATGTAGTATTAATAAATGACAAGCACAATCATCAAAAAGTTTTTATGTATAACTCTAACTATTGTGTAATTTCAATTCAATAAAACATAGGTTGAGCTATTGGCCTGCATGAGTTATATATTAATAAAAACAGTAATACGCAAACACAAATAACACACCTCTATACAGATGATATAGTCTTGTATACGGGTTTTCAGCTCTTGAGCAAGTGACCCCTTAAATGCTCCCATAGAAAAAAGAAATGCAACAGCCACTCCTTGCCACCACGTTAGAAAGACTATTGATTTAAATGTTAAAAATTTGGCTAATGGTTTGATTGGCTCCAGTTTATCTTTAATGACAGAATAGAATTGTACAAGGCAATAAAGGGCCCAAGTCTGACTAAAGTTAAGAATACTTGCCAAGTAGGGATACCTGCAAACACCAAAGAGAATCAGGATTCAGGCAGTATAATCGTCATGACAAATACAGATATGGAAATAGAAAAGCAGAAATAATAATATATGTATTGATTTCAATAGTCTTACCCATATCTCCATTCAAACTTCCCCTCTCCATAAACCCCAAAAGACTGGAGGATCACTGCCAGCATTGCACAGATCATTTTCAGTATCATCTGGAATGAGGTTTTAGTCAACATTAACAATAAGAAAAACATGGATTCCACTTTCCCAAAATGAGAGAGCAGTGGAACAAAAGCACAATTCACCAAAATCTAACATACATATTGTACGATGCCAATCTTCACAGATTGATAGAAGTCAGGGCCAAGATACCAGTCTCTTAAGATGATATTTAAAGGAAATGGATGTTCTACAACTCCATATGCATATGCATCTTTCAGGAGAGGAGTGCTGGAGTCTGTTACGCTCATACTTTCCATAAATTGAATTGTTTTCTCCTCACCACCTAAAAGCAACCATAAACAAATTTGTACAAAACAACCATAAACAAATTTGTACAAAGAGCATATCCAATCCAACATGATTTAAAATTTGAGAAGATGTATGAAATCTTTTAGCCATGTGTGTAATAATAACATTCAAGCCTCGCATATTAATAGATTTTAAATTAGACTTGACTGAAAGGATAATCTCTTAAAATATCATAATCCTTACAATTTTTGCATGTGGGAAAAACATATATATGAATAATAATTACAACTGGGGAAATTAGTAAGGTATGCAATCCATTTGACATACCTAGGCAAGCTATCAGGTATCTTTCAAAGCAATATAATGCAAAAGCCTCATAGCAGTCCCGGATAATTGCACAATTAAATGCCGCACTGGAATCCAATAGTGACAAAAACTGCATCATATAAACATCGGAACATAACAATATACTATTAAAACTATTATTATATACACCAAGAAACTGATAATAATGTTGGTTGCAAGTCAGTACAGATGGTCCTTTCAGGAATACATAACCCAAGCTTTTTCTTAATATAAGTTAAACAAGACTAAAATCTGTTATAAATAAAAAGGAGGCAGTTTTCTTATTCAGAATCAATTAACAATAAGATATCGTGAAGATCGATATTAGATGCCAGGAAATTCTCAAAAACCAACCAGCCCAACATAAATATGCATGTGAAAAGAGGAGCATTTTAGTCTGACTGGAAGACAAAGACATAAAACTCTTTAGAATTAAAAGACCCAAGTAAATGATGCTGTTATGATAAATAATGAGAAAGGAGATTATTTGGCCATTTACTTGGCATCTCTTACCGATTCCAATGAATAGACAGGAACCATTAAAATGAGACCAATCAAAAACTTCTGTTCCTGATTAAAAAATATATACAAAGTATTAGCTTTTGTTCATAAAAATTAGAAAATACTATGAAAAGATAGGAAGGGTAACGCAGGAGGAAACATAAATAGGACTCAAAGTATAGGAGTGCATATATAAACCTCGGGCTGATTATAGGCAGCTAAGTGCTCGAATATTAGGTACATGGAAAGGACAAGGGCAACAAGCACAAATATACTTGCACTGAAGACTGTCCAGCTAACAGTTCCTGTAGACTCCACGCCTATATTGGGCCACATACTCCCAGATCTAGTGGACTCGACGACAGTAAAAAGAAATATGCAAGAACATAGAACATCCAACAAACCCATTCGCCGGAAAATTAGAAAATGGTTGTAAAGAATGTTCTTCCCTTGATTTGATCAACTCTTTGCTTTGCTATATTCCAGAGAGTGCGAAGTGTCTCCACTCCCACAAAACCTTCTACTTCGTTTGATTTTCTCTCTTTCTGCGTTTCTATATTAAAAGTGGAAACCGGAACCCTTTAAGATATAGTATATAAAACAAGAAAACTGCCCTTTTGATGCATCATCAAACTTAACACGCAGCACACAGAACTAACAGTCCATCAACAGCAGCCAAAGAAGTTTCCTTTTGATGTGTGTAGAAAACCTGAATTGAGATAGGACATGTATCATGCACTATGAGCTGATAAGCTGGTGCCATTTTTTATCATTATAGATTTGCAATCACAAAACAGTTCAAAAACATCCTTATAACAATTTCTAACTATAGTGCCATACATGCTCCTAACTACTTGCTGATTGCCATTGCATCAATTACCTTTACCTATATATATATATGATCACAGAGCACAAGTAGATATATCAATAGAGGATAGGTGCAAAAATCTCATATTGAAAGTTGATCTAAACAACAAATTGGACACATAATCATCAGGCAACTGTCATTCCATTTACGTACAAGACTTATTCATGCTATTACAAACTATCTCCGAATCCAAGATGTACATGCTAATTTTCAATCATCATAGCATATTTTTTCGCAAAGTCGCTGCTATTCTATGAAGCAAGAATATGATCCTACTTATCCATTCTTTTCTTTTTATGCATGAGACAATATAAGCAGAAATAGTACAAAGGGACTTCGAATCACATACAGACCGCCAAAGTCCAAAACAATCGGATAGACAAGACAACAGGTGCATTCAATTACTAAACGTGTTAGTAACATTGGTATTTAGTATTCACAGCTGCCAAGATTACTGGTGGAAGACAAACATCACAAAATCTAAAAACAATAAATTTTACTTCTTACTATAGCCATAAAAGTAAAGTTAATAGTACTTTACGAATTTAACCAAATCTAGGTTAACCTAAAATAATTGCAATTCAATTCACCACACAAACAAGTTCAGCAAACTCAAAAAGCTATTATAATGAATTCAAAAACCACCACATAGATACATATTCCAGCTTCTTTCAGATTTAATAATGAATAAACGTTCAAAGTTCGACAAACAAATGAATTTTCAATACAAATATCATACAATGGCCAAAACCCTAGACCTCGAGTAAACGGAGATAGAGAACGAAAAACGTCATGAACCGAAACGAAAAACGGTGCAATAGGAACAAATAGAACGATAGCAATGAATCGCAGAAACCATTGAAGAAAAAAAATTAGGGATAGGGTTCGAACCTTCGTTCTTCGCGTGGTTTTCTCGAGAAAATTATTTTCCAGAAGATGAGAAAGAAAGAGGAGCGGAAAATAAATAAATTAATAATTAATAATAATAAAATAAAGAAAGAAATGGAGAAACGGAATTTTGCTTCGGCAGTTGGAAAACAAAAATATCGAATTAATTTATTATTATTTTGGAGAAATAAGAAAAAGTGGAAGGAACTAACCCGATACGGACACGTGGGTGTTGTGGTCACAGATAGAATCAAAACCGTCGATTGTGATGTCGGTTTTCGTATTTGGCATTTTGTATAAAAAGTGTTTTTTTCTATTAAATAACATTGAGAGTTTTTGAGTCCTTTTTCTAAAATGAGAAAGTTTTTATGAAATTAAACAAAATAAAGGTTGAAGAAAATCATGACGCTAGATGAAAGGTTCTGGTTTATACCAAACAGTCAGAGAGGAAGAACACACTGTTTGGTAGTGCAAATATTTCTGTGTAAATATTGTTTGGTACCCGTCAGTGTCACCATATAAGTAACATTGCTTTCTGAAACCGACTTTTCATTACTTTCATTGGTTATTGGCTTATTAAAAGTGTTGTAGTATAGATTAATCACAAGGTTAAACAAGAAACTGAAAAACCTTTTAATTGGTTTTTAACTGAATAATGATAGATGGTTTATTGGTAGAATAATATAATTATAGATGTTTTACTTTTTTTATTATTTGTTAAAAGAATGGTGTTAATTTTATGTATTTAAAGTCTAATTAACGATTCTTTAACCATCTTAACAAAAAAAATATATAACTTTTTAACCATACCCTTTGTTTTGTTTTAAATAATTGTCTCAAATAGTAGGTGAAAAAGGTATTAAAAACCTATAGAAATTGATTACTATCAATTCTATAAATCAATTGGATTAAATTCATAATTTGTTTTTCTATTATAAATTATTTACACTAAAAAAATGACATTTAAGTAATAAATAATATTTATATTTTTCATTTTCATTCTATTACATTATGATAAATTAGCGTTAATTTAGAACTTCAAAACACATCTGCTATTTATATTCCTCTTTTTACATTTTTCATATCTCTCTCTCATGATTTCCCTAAGAATTATTCTCTAGTTTTATTTGATTTGGCTCTTTGGATGAAATTTCTCTATAATTGTGTGAACAATGAGATTCTCTCTCATTCAAACCCTAGAGCTACCGCCCCTTTCTCCACATTGTTTATGGTCAAAACCAAATCTATATCGATATTCCTCATCTCACGGACTTCCTAATAAATCAGTTGGATTTTTATTTCGAGTGACCTCGTTGTCGACCGTTGTTTCTCTCTCTCTCTCTGACAGTCACAACTGAAAACGTTAAAACAAATATAGATTTGAACTTCTCACCAAATTTACACTTTACTCTTTCAATTTTCTCTATCATTGCATATTGTTTTCTCGGAGAAAAAAGATCCATATCTACAAAATAAAATCTTGTGAATCGTGCAGATTTTAAGCTGAAAATAGATACAAAGAGAATGTGGGTGAGATAAGGGTTTCTTAGGTTTAATGTTTGATTATGTTTCCGTAAGATTTACTTCCTTTATCGTTATGTTTTCAATCTTTCATTTCTTCTCCTTGAGATTCTCTGTTTTTATGGGTCATTGTTGTGTTTATTTTACAGATTTAGAGGTTTGGTTTTTTATGTTTCCACAATATTATTACACAAGTAGTTAATGGAAAGAAAACAACATTACGTTTTCAATTAAAATTAGTAGTTGATTTTCTAAGTAAAGTTGATGACTTAGCTTGTTTATGTCAACTCTGTTTTAGTCTTTTTCATCGTTTCCTTCACCAAATTCATTTGATTCAATCTATTGTTCATATTTTTTTGTCATTTGAATATGATTGCTCGACTTTCTTTTTTTTTACATTTTTTTTTCTTTTATGAGGTTTCAACAATATTTTGTTGTGGGTTTATATGTTTTTCAGCCATAACAAGACTTTGTTTTAAGTCTTTTTCATCAATTGTCCACATTACTATGAGTTTCGTTATGTGTTTCTCACTTTTTCCATGATTTTGTATTTTAAAAATACTTTATTGATCTATTTAAAAATAATTTGATTTTAGTGTTTTTCATCGTTTCCTTCATTAAATACATTTGATCTAATCGATTATTTTGATTACTATGAATTTCTATTTATCTAATGTGTAAGTTGATTCAGCTTTGTCTTTCATTTTTTCAGGTTATCTTGCTTCAATATTGCTTATAGATTTACAATAGATGTTATTTGTCTAGTTTATGGTATTCAAATTAGTTATGACATTATTCATCTATATTCATATGATTGAAAAGGTCAAGGTTCTTAGCAAATCTGTCTTTTTTGGCAATCAGAGAAACGGTGGAAAGATTTAGTTTTGTACTATTATAAGCTTGTCGTCTTTCCATTTATTTTGTTACTTCATTTTGTTATTTGATTACTTATGTAATTTTATGTTTTGTTTGTTCTTTAATATGGTTGATAACTTTGTTATGTTCTTTATTATGAGTTGAGTTGATAACTTTGTTCTGTTATATTTGTTCTATTTTATTATACTAGTAATAAACTCGTGCCAACATTCGGGTGAAATATGGTTTTGGACGCGCATTTGATTGTAGACTGTTATAAAAATTAGAAGTTGAAAAAAGAAAAAAAAATTAAGAATAATAGTAAATTTAAGTTGGAAAAGTAACACATGTAGAAGTGAAAAGTAAACAACAATATCAAATATAATATAATTAAAAATAAAAATTATTGAAACTTCTATTAGATAAATCAATCATTTTAGTTTTTTTTTACAAATAAGGCAATTATGTTATAAGAGAAAATACAATTTTTAAATATCTACTCAATCTTTTTTAATAAACTCCCTTAGCCTTTTTCACATATTTGAAAAAAAATGGTCGATAAATTTCTATTATTTAATATTTAGATAAGTAGTAAAGTTGTTCCCGTTTATAACAATAGTATTTTTTTCTCGTATATAAAAATATTTTAATCAACAATATATTTTTTTCTCGTATATAAATATTATTTTTATTTTGAAATTATTTATAAAAATATTTGAATCAATAGTAAAGTTGTTCCCATATATAAAAATATTTTAATCAATAATATATTTTTTTCGTATATAAATATTATTTTTATTTAGAAAATATTTATAAAAATATTTAAATCAATAGTAAAATTGTTCCCGTTTATAACAATAATTGGATTAGTAGTTTTATTTTTTCTATTCCAAATAATTTTCACGATATGAGAAAACAAAATTTATTAAAACTTTACTTACTCACAATATATTTTAATAAGTAGTTTTATTTTTTTGTTTCATATAATTTTCACAACATGAGCAATCAAAAATTGTTAAAAAATTTATTGAATCACGGCATAATTTATATCTTTGAGTGACCTATTGTTAAAGTTAACTGTTATAATATTTGAAATAAAATATTATTGCTCTTTATGTCATTATTGAGAAGTTTGAGTAAGTGTATGTAGTAAAAAAAATAGGTGTTGCTGCACTAATTGTTTTAACCATAAAAATGAAAGGAAATGTTAGTCAAGTAACCAAATGAATGAAGAATTTAGTTTGACTAGTTAACATAGGAGACACATAATTATTTT